CGTTCGGTTTCAGCAGGAATCCTACATATCTAGCCAAACGAAGCAAAAGCGTGGGAAAAAAAACAGAAAAAAACACTAAACATTTTGAGGCATCCATCCGCCCTAACACCTTCCTCCTGCCCCCTCCCCGCCGAAAAACAAGCGAAGGAAATCCGAGAATCCCGCCCCAAGGCCAGAATCAAAAGCCGGCAAGTGGGTGCACCCAACTGCTGCCGCCATACCACGCCATCTCTGGTGAGGACACCTGTAGTATTCAATGAGGTGCCCCCCCCCCCGGTGTTGTGTCGGATGCTGCTGCTGCCCAAAGCCGCGCAAAATCCGAGAGCAAAATTATCTTATCATCAAGCATTTACACACCTCAAGACGACAAAACACATTGGACCTCGACCTCAACCGTTCGCCCAGGCTCACTCGCTCGCTCGTGTTAGTCTTTCCCTTCTCGGCGGGGGGGCTCCAGAGGGAGAAGAAAACAAACATTCCACTTCATCGCGAATCGAACCAAAAAATATCCCACAGGTATCTACGAGAGGTATCTACTACTGTGTACCACGCGCTGTGAGTGCGGGCGGCGGAAAGAAGAAATAATAATAATCCTTCCACGACACAATCAGCTCTCGCCAAAATCAACACCAACCCAAAAAAACGGGACACCTTTTTACGCGCCGCAGGACAAGCACTCCGGCTCCTCCTCCACCTCCAACCCCGCGCTGCCGCCTTCCGCACCGCTCTTCGCGCCGCTCTTCGCGGCCTCTTCTCTGGAGACCTTGAGCGAGGACTGGTCGACCGTGAACTGGATGGCGTCGGCCTTGGGGCGGGTGCGGAGGTAGTACATGCCGGTCTTGAGGCCCTTCTTCCACGCGTAGAAGTGCATGGAGGACAACTTCCCGAAGGATGCCTCCGCCATGTGCACGTTCATGGACTGGGATTGGCAGATGTACGCCCCTCGGTCCGCCGCCTGTCATGTCATGTTTGTTGTTGGGGCCAATACAATAGGTTGTCCAAGAGAACGGGGTCAGGAATTGCACACCAAAGCAAGGCCTGCTTCGATAGAGTTTCATTGTTGTTGCTTTCAAAATTTGTACAGAGAAGACGATACATTGTACCCTTAAGAGCAAGTCATGCTCGACGAAGCCTCATTTTTTCGTTAACTTAAGTTTCCCCATGAGAGGCGTTCAAATTGTACACGCAAAACAAGGGCTGCTTCGATAGAGCTTCGTTTTTCGTAAATTTAAGCGTTGTAGTTCAAAAGGCGTTAAAATCGTATACCAACAACAAGGCTTTCTTCGATAGAGCTTCAGCTGGTTGGGACAAAGAGACTGGAACGGGGCTGGAGGAAATCAAGTGCACGCGCAGTAAACGTGTGGAAACAGGCCACGAATGCAACGAATCACCGCAACGGTCGGCTGCTGAATAACAAAAACACACCTGGTTGAGGATGAACTTCTGCTTGATCTCCCACACGGTCTTGTACAGGTCCTTGAGCTCCTGCGGGATCTGGCGCACGTTCTGCACCGACCCCTGGTCGGCGATGATCTGGTTCCGCACCTCCGGCGTCCACAGGCCGCGCTCCGTAAGGTCACGGAGGAGGTACTTGTTCACCACGGTGAACTCTCCGGCGAGCACACGTCGGTTGTACATGTTGCTGTCGTTGTTGGGGAGGGGGGGGGGGGGGGGGGG